TAGATAGCCCTCGTGTAGCTTTGCGCGAAATTCAAAAAAACAAACAAACTATAACAACGCTATAATTCTCAAAGAACGTCTCACGTGCTCGTGCGCGACAATGCTCAGTTCAATTACACATTCTCTGACTGCAGTTCAATTACTCATTACCTCTCTGTCGCTTCGTGGCCGGTCCTATATATACAAGACTAACACATATCTAGTAATCTCCCGACAATTCACGAGGGTTCGAGAAGGACGTGGCGTGATACTAATCACGTGACCTCGCTGACGCAACAATATTTACTGCTTATAATACAAGAAATGGATTGATGTTTGGGATAAATTAATAAAAATTGTAATAATTCATATCATATATTTATTAAGATGACTCCAGTTGAAGCAAGTAGAAAAAAAAGTTAATGTAAAATATCTAATCATCTATGTAATCTACAAATTATTCTTACTGCTAGACATAACGTTTGTGATAAGGTATGAATTTCAAAATATAAGGATATCCAAACAAGGATATTCAACAATTTTACGGAAGAGATAGTTGCTATATTTAAAGCTTTGAAAACGGATCATATAACTTAAGAAATTAAAGATCTAGATGATAAAAAATTGAAGGAAGTTTCTATGAACCAGAATTAGTTAAATATGATAAGAAAGATGACGTTTATAAGATTAAAAGATAATTAGAAAAAAAAAGGTAATAAAGTATTTTTAAAATGGTTAGGATATCCTGATTAATTTAATTCTTGGTTGATATTTCAAATATTTTCGAAAGGCCCTTTATAGGGTCCCCTTATATTTTTCAACATTTGTTAATTTTTATTTCTAATATTCTCATCAGTAAAAAGTTTAGTGTCATGAGGAATTCTCAAAATGATTTCTATCTCTGAATAATCTAATAATTCTTTTACTCTTGAACTAACACTACATTTAAGAGTTGTTATTACCCAAAGTAAATATTCCCATAACTTATTATTTTTCCTCAAAACAAGCTGACGGTGTTTGTTAGAATCTTTAGGCCTCACTACTACATCCGCATCCCACCAAACATGCTCGCCCTTTCAGCCGTGGGGGCGTTATAATGTGACGGTCAATCCCACTATTCGTTAGTAAAAGAGTAGCCCAAGAGTTGGCGGTGGGTGGTGATGACTAGCTGCCTTCCCTCTAGTCTTACACTGCTAAATTAGGGACGGCTAGCGCAGATAGCCCTCGTGTAGCTTTGCGCGAAATTCCAAAACAAACAAACTCACTACTACAGGGGTTTTCATTTAATTTATTTCAGTTTTTTTTTATTCATTTATAATTTCTCATGCTGCACTGAATATTATACGATTGTTGTCTCTCATACTCCTAAGTGTAATATTTTTTTTCCTAAAAAAATGCTCAGTCAAGTGTTCAATTTGATTTTTATATTTTGGATCTAGTTTACATTCACCAGTTTCCTAAATGATGGTAACACTTGAGACGTTACCTAATTTTTTCAACTTTTTTTATTTCAGGTAGTTTTGAATACATAATTAATGAATATATCTCAAATTTACTGATGGATATTTATGTGATTGTAAATTATCCAAGGATCCTGGTTCACAGCGGCTATTAAAATCTT